TAGTTGTGATATTTTTTTTTGTCTAGAACTTATTTGAATCTATCCATCATTTTATAGTAACAAAGAATAATAATGTTAAAATTATAGAGATAAGATATTGTTACTATCAATTAGTTTACTACCAATGTCACTGCCATTTTGTTTCATCGTTAGATCGATTATGTTGATTCAACAGTTATATTTATTTTCACCTTTCTATGGTTATGATTCCCTATATTTAATGTGAAATAATTAAATATGCAAAATCATAACCATACAGCAGTGGAAATAAATATAAAGTATTAAATATAGGGAGAAGAAATAATGATTTTAGAAAGTTAAATCAGAACCGTTGGATCAACATAATCGATCTAACGATGAAACAAACTGGTAGTGACATTGGTAGTAACACTAATTGGTAGTAATAATATCCTAATGGTGCTTTAACCACGATACTAGTTGACCATGTAAATATTTAGGATCATTTTTTTTTTTGATAAATTATATTTAGGATCATTTTAGTTGTGACAACTTGATGGTCCAAAACTTATTTGAATATATCCTAAACTTTATAGTAATAATAATGTTAAAATTATTATAGAAGAAAGACTTGGTTGTGACCAATTGTTAATTTTCGCATTTTATTTAGGTAATTTTCGCTGCGACAGCCTAATGATTTGAAATCTCCAAATTTAATTTAATGAATTTCCAAAAAAAAAATTCTTTCAAAATGTTTTTTGAAAACTAAAATTAATCGATACACACATGTTTTCTTAAGAACAATGCAATTTTGAGTTTCTCATTGCCTCAGAGGATACATCAGAGTGGAATTTTCATCAAGGTAAATTTTTTTTTGATAGTTTGGTCTTACTTCCTTTTAAACAATCATATATCGCTTTTACGAATATACAAATTTTTTTAAAAAATTATTAATAATTTGCACATTTAACTAAAGATAACATGTTTAAATAGATGTATAAAAGGTGTAATAAGATTAAATTTTCACCTTTTCCTGAGAATAGTTAGACTCCAAAACATTATTTTAAAATTTTAAAAATAGTAAAGATTGTATGCCAAATGACTTATCTAATGAAATAGAGTATGATAAAATGGGAGATGACATGCACAACCAATTAAAAATATCAGTTGGACAATCAGCCCAACCAGAATCAGAGTACCCAATAACTTTAACATGACCTTTATCTTCATATTCAAAGCCTTTTCCTGGAGATGCCTTGATATACTTAAGAATACGAATGACGACATTCCAATGTTCTTGACATGGAGAATTAAGAAATTGACTTACCACACTGACTGCAAATGAAATGTCAGGCCGAGTGATTGTGAGGTAGTTCAATTTTCCAACCAATCTTCTATACTGCTCAAGATCTGAAAAGGGCTCCCCTGATTTGGTAGAAGCTTAACACTTGGATCTATAGGAGTATCAACAGACTTAGAATTTAACAAAGCAATTTCTTCAAAAATATCCAGAGCATATTTCCTCTGAGATATCACAACTCCATCTTTAGATTGGGCTACCTCGATTCCCAAGAAATATCGAAGTTTCCCAAGATCCTTGGTCTGAAAATGGTTACATAAATGTTGTTTCAACTGAGTGATCCCATGATTATCACTACCTGTGATGACAATATCATCCACATATACCACCAGGTAAATAGATCCAAAAGCTGAATGACGATAAAAGAGAGAATGTTTTTGTAATTTTAATTTACTTTAGGGTTATAATAGTCTTTATATTTATAATTTCATTAAGATTTCAATACCAAAACGACGTTGTTTTGAGAATAAATGTAGATAACTTATCTGCAGTAACTGCAGAAACATTTTTCTCATATTTATAATAGGGATGTAGATCTCTTTTTATTATTTATCTTTTCTTAACATGTATTTTTATATAATTAAAGATTTTGAATATGAAAATGTTCTGACAAAATTAATATGGTTCCTAAATTGTATTTCCATCCTAATAGATTAAAGTTAAATTTTAAATTAAATTAGTGTTACGTGATAACTAAGAATCCTTATCGAATGATTAATTTGATTTATTTAATCTTTCAATACTGATTCAATGTTTCAAATATTACAATAACCAAATTAAATATTTATTTAATAAATAGGTATCCATCATTGCAATACCGCTAAATTATGTTATAAACTTAGTTATATTACTTATATATATTGGATGATTTACGATTAAGATTATTGGATATGATTTACTAAGTCAACTAATGAATTGGAAATCATTTCGCATTGTAAGAGATATGCATGGGTCAATGACTCAATATGATTAATCTAGATTCAATGTTTTATTTTTTTCCCCATTAATTCATATAAAAAATTGAAAATTCAAATATACATAAGTTGTTCAAGCAAAATGACATTAATAAACTCCATTAAATTTTCTTTGATTATTTCATTGCCTTATTTTCATTTCTTATGAAGTAAAAGCTTTATATAATCACTCCTTCATTTTATGCACCTTATTTGATTATGTGATCATAACGTTTTTGCTCCTTTTCTTTTGTTGGGATAACGTTAAGTAATCACTTTATGTGATTTAATTATATATTTATATATAACTTCTGATTTTTTTTTGAAATTTATGATTAAGTTATCCAGTAATATTTTATTTCCTAATTTAAATTTATTATATCATGCATTAACCACTACAAAAATTAAGGCATTTTGTGGAGTCATATTTTCATATTGTGGAGGTCTTTGACCCCCACAAAAGATATTTGTGGCATTCACCCAGACCCCCAGTTCTGCCTTTGCCACAACATAGTTTGTGGGGGTTTTTTGTGCAATGCCACAATTTGTTGAAGTATTTTCTGGAGGTTCGAGATCCCCACAAATACTACACTTTCTGGAGGTTTAAGACCCCCACAAATGTTATATAATTTTCTAGAGGTTCTGAACCCCCACAAATGTCACTTATAGATCCCCACAACATTTATAACTTCCTAGAGGTCATAGACTGCCACAATGTTTTTTTATCATTTTGGCATATATGACTTAAGGAGAGTTAATGACAGTTTATCCACCCGTTTCAGTGGTTCCACATTAGTATTAGCTTATTATTTTCCATATTTTTATATTATTTTGCACCTTCAACAAAATGACTTCTTAGCACTTTCATTACATTTTAATTAATTACATTCCAAAAAAATGCAAGGCTAAGAGCTGACCATTGATCAGCTTTAGCAACCAATGGAGGCAAGGGAGTATTTCAAGAAAACTTATTAAATTGCACCAACAAGTTTAGTTTCACTTTAAGATAATTTTGAATCAAAATGAATAGATCATGCACTGAATTTTCATTGACATACAAAGCAACTCCTTCAAAAACAAGTAGGAGATTTTATCCATTGAGCAAAATAATCGAAGGTCAAGCTTGCACATAAAGCATCAAGCTTTTTGACATAGCAAATTCATCTTCCTGAATATTGTCTAGGTTGGTGCTTTCTATCCAATCTTTCCATCTTTCTGAAGGAGGACTAAAAGTGGTGCATTCCCTTGATGCTTGGAGATCACTCAATTTATTTGTTATTTCCACCAGTTGTTCCTCACACTACAACAAAAATGTTCTTTAGCCACGGCAAAAATCGTGGCAGAATATGACTAAAACCGTGGCTAAATGAGTTGTCCACTGTTTGAAAAACCGTGGCTAAAACGGGCGTTGCATTATTTTAACCACGATGATTTTTGCATTTAAGCACGGTCTGAATGACTGTGGTAACATTGAATTAGCCACGGTTTTTGTTACGTTAGCCACGTTATAGTCGTAGCTAAACGATTTGGATCACTATGATCAAAAGTTTTATTTTGCCACAAACAAAACCGTGGCTAATTATAAGGAGTTTTTTTTAAAAAAATATATTACAAATTCTCCCAATCATATAAAAAGCAAATAATAAAAATTGCATTTGATGAAAGAACCAAAAACCAAATTAAGAGAGTTAATAAAATCGCTACCAAGATTTTCAATATCTTTATAACTTTTACATAAGTTTTTATCCACTTCACCTATCTAAGCAACACCCTGTAGGCAAAATTTTGGAATTTATATTTACGAAAAATAAAATAAATTTGGAATACATGTACATGAGCTAGTTGTTAAAGTACCCCAAAAATTTGAAGACTCGAGATGTGTTGGAGTTGGGTGCATGAGTGGGTCTTTGAAATCTTGCAATGTTTGAGAATGATCCTTATGATTTGAAAAAGATGGGTGCTTGTGTGGCTCTTCATAGTTCACTGTTGTCAAAATTCTTTCATAATTCCCAGTCAAATAAAATGAAACCCACATCAATTACGTTCACTAATATGGTGGTTTTAGGTTTAAATATATATAGAAGTGGCAAGGAATTTTGACAATTCTTACAAGAGCTAAAAGGCAAAATCTATTCTTAAATATAAAGAGAGAAGCATTATAAAATGGGCAAATAATTAAGCATATATACCTGAGGGAATTGGACGAGCATCACTACAAAAATTAAGGTATTTTGTGGAGGTCATATTTTCATATTGTGGAGGTTTTTGACCCCCACAAAAGACATTTGTGGCATTTACCCAAACCCCCAGTTCTGCCTTCGCCACAACATAGTTTGTGGAGGTTTTTTGTGCAGTGCCATAAATTTGTTGGAATATTTTTTTGGAGGTTCTAGACCTCCACAAATGTTACACTTTCTGGAGGTTCTAAACTCCCACAAATATTGTATTTCTGGAGGTTTACTAACCCCCACCATATGTTTGACTTTTTGTCACTTAAAAACCCCCACAATATTTATCACTTCCTAGAGGGCATAAACCTCCACAATTTATTTATTATTTTAAAAAGTTTAAACCTCCACTATTTATCACATCTTTTAATAGCTTTAAAATGACAATATATAAGAGCTAAAAAGTTTATATATCATAATTTGAGAATTGAGCCCCACCACTTGATAAGCTAAGTAAATATTATGCACGTGCGCAAAGAGCTGAAATGATACTTGTGTAATACTTATTAATCCAAATTTCATTCGACAACTATTCTCAAAACTGGAAAGAAAATATTATTTGGCAAAACTTAAAAGCACGTTATCCTTCTGCCAATGCAGAAAAGGGGTGAAAAAAAAAGAATAGAATACAAACAAAAAAACCAAGAGACTATTTCCTCCAAAATTAATAGCAACAACTCCATGGAAATCTTGGACTTTGGCTAGCCCCATTCTTTTATGGCCTTGGTTGCAGCATCTTTTCCTAGTCTTGGTACCTCTATCACCATCATATCTTGCGTTGCATCCAAAGAAGGTGCCATATAAATGCAAACATCGGGGTTCTCTTTTAAGATCTCCTCTTAAGTACACGTATCTCCTCTTGATCATAGACTTGTCACCTGAAAATAGTTATAAAGTTAGAAAAAAATGTAAAGACATATAAATTAAAAAATACAATTTAAGGATAATACGCTTCATTATTAAAGAAGAAAATAATCTAAGAGATTAAGTTACTTTTAAAATAATGTACTATAATTCAATATAAAAGGATAAGATTACCCTTAAAAAAAAAACTAATCCCGCATATTTGAAGAAAGTTCTTCGTGACAGGAAATTAAAAAAAAAAATGCTTGTTCTGTGAGGGAAAATACTTTTCCAGATTATTTTTATCATGCAAAGCCTATAACTGGAAGTTATAAGATAACAGTTATCAAAAGAATCACATAACATAATAACATACAACTAAAATTCAAGAACTGAAAAGTAATGAGGAGTAAAAGAAAGGGTAACCTTTTTAATTTCATGGCGTGGGATATCATGGCGATCCATAGGATTAATCTCCTCAGAGTTCTGTTCAAATAAAAATAGATGAGTCAGAAACTTACTTGAGTTTTCTACCAATTAGCAACCCAAGCAAGCCAGGAGTAAAAAAATAAAAATAAAAATTATACCTTAGCTTCATTATGGCAATGCCTACAGTCAAATAATAATTAGTTGCAATTTGTATCTCATGCTGAGTGAAGATCTTCCACGGTGACATGTGCAAGGACGAATCTGCATCTATTCTACAACTTGGAAGTATAGTCTCCCTCATGATACTGCTCATTCTTCTTGAGAGCTTGAGGACACTGAGAGGATGCAATTTGGCTAAGAGCTTCTTTGATTTGGTCCTCAACAATTGAAGAAATGCATGCCACTGAGAACCAGGTTTTGACTTATCTTGAGACTCGAAATCCACAATGGGTTCTCTTGAAGAACTTGTTTCTGACTCTGAGAAGGGATTAATATCTACAACCTAATTAGTAAATTATGGATGATTCATTAAAAAATGTTGAATAACATAATCTTTACTCACTTGCTTGCCTGGCAATGGTTGCATCTGCTCTATAATACTTTGGAGGGGGAGAAACTATATCCATCAGCACCCCCTTTATATCAAGAACAAGAAGTTTTTTCTTCAAAAATCCAACTTGTGTTCCAGCCAAAGAATTTCTCAAATTTTTTGAACTAAACTCTTTGTTTATGACAGAAGCAGATAGTGCCTTCATTTCATCAGAATAAGAAGAATATTCTTTGGCATTTTTTCTTTCATCTGCTTCAGTTGACTCAGTATCCATTGAATTTTTAATACCTTCCTTCGGAAGGTTACAGGCTATGTTAATGCTTTGTACTGTATGGGGCTCCATCCTTTTTTTCTCTCAATCCCCCTGAAACTGGATTCACCTCCCCAAAAGAAGAAAGCAAGATTTATTATTTATCTAGGCTTTCAAAGAGAATTTGACATTGAAAATCTTGGTAACTTTAAACAGAATTAGTAATTCAAGGAACACTAAAATTTCTGAATAAATGTTAAGGGTCAACAGTCTTACAGCATCCAATATCATTCCATTATTCATTCCCCAGTAGATCCTAAAAATATGGACAACTATAGATTCAAACAAGGTAACATAATAATGTTTTCAGAAAAACAATCTGACAAGCACATGTGTAATTTAATACGGTTTAGCATTAAAAAATATATATATACATATTGTCAGGGAAAATATATATACATATATACATATACAAACCAAAGGTTTCTGACTCTTGAAGAACCAGATTTTCCCAGGAAATAATTTAAAAAGTGATTGGTTCCGTGTAAGAATGAACAAAGCCGAAGGGATTAGTGAAAGCAACAAGAGAAGACCAAATTTATATATTATTCATCCTAGTGAAAGGAGCTCTGCAATCAAAATTTCATGCTTCATAGGATTTAATTACTCTTTAGAATTTAGATTTCTTTGCAATGAACATAAACACGTTCCCTTAAACCAGAAGACCAATCAGTGAACAAGCCCTGAGAAATCACGAAGAGTGGTCTTCTCAGTTATTTTTCCCATTCCTGCCCCCACTAATAAAAACAAAATCACACATAAATTCACTCCTCTCGCCACAAAATAAGATTCCTACGTCTCAATAACATCTTAGCATTCTAAAGGATGCAAATTTTAATAAACTATCGCTCAATAGATTACCATTCTTAATTAATAAACAGTTAATATCTTGATATACTAGGGAGGTTTTCGATAAGAAAAGCTTTTTTATGAAAATGATGACACCAACAAATGTTGGCAGAGAATCCCACGGGAAAACTCAAGTTAACCTGAAACACAGGGATAATGGTGATATCAAAGTGAAAGAAATTTAAATGATGAGGACAGTTAAACAGTTTCCAGAAAATCACAAATTTTAAAAAACAAATGGGTCAGGAGATTACTTGTTCTACCCGCCCACACATTAAATGCTCAGCACCTAAAGATATGAGCAATTAAAATATATACCTGTAAATTCAGCTTGAATTCTTTAATTTTTCAATGTTGTAATCCAGTGCCTTGGCCCAAAGGCTAGACCACTGTTTACAATGGCTCGATACATGGTATGAACTGTGCTCTTCTGGCATTCTAAGTGCTCCACCCAAATTACCTACAACCAAAAGCAACATTCCAAATTAAAGTGCATTCTCACAATTACAAATACTTAGTTAAAGGTTTTGTTCATACCTTACAATGGCCATTTGACTTATCCTCAGTAATCCAACCTGATGGTTTTCTGCATTTCACAAGGGATGTGTCAATGTTGTCTTCTACTTATCCTCAATAATGATATGCACACAATCTTAACTAGCCCATTGAACAATAAGCTATGGGCATGAAGATGATGAAGCAGGTAGCAAAGTATCAAAGGGAGCACAAGCTTAACTGATAAAAACTATTTACAAGTGACAACTAACTCAAATTTGTCACAGTAACACACCTTCTTGTGACCTTCATAGTTTATATTGGTTATGATTGGTCTACTTTCTTGGTTTTTTTCTTCCCTAAATGCTAGTAGTTCACTAGAATGATTATAAGAACAAGGTTTTAACTTTTAAGCAATCATAACCAGTAGGGAAACACAAGACGCGGGACCTCATAATCACTCAAGTAACATCATTGTTGGACAAGGATTTGGGCTAACAAAGTTGCTACATATAAGGTGAAAATGCACCTTTTGAAAATGGGCAAATAATTAAGCATATATACCTGAGGGAATTGGACGAGCATATAGCAAGTCATTGCCAAGGCAAACATGAAGCACAGAAATGCTACAGAGGCCATTTCTAAATTTGATGTGATATTACTGCTTCACTATCCAGTTATATATTGAGTACTTAGAAACCATTTATTATTATTTTATCTACATTGAAATGCTCACAATGCAAGAAATATCACTACCTATTCTCAGTCACAAAGGATTGGTCAAAATAAACTCATAAAAATGTGATTAAAATTAATTGTCCAGTGCGGGTACAATTAGCTTTTTGACCAGTGTGGATAGAAAAATATTGTTGTCTTAATACCATTTGAAACATATTTGTTAATTTGAGACAAGAATGACATGGCGCTAAATGAACTAGTATCACATGTTACCACAAGGCAATTATATCTTTTCATATAATTAATTCCTATTTTTTAACTCTCACCCTATTTTTTATAATTAATTCTCTGTCTTTAACTCTTAATGTTAATTGAATTTAACGTTATTATTAATCATTATTAATGTACCTATGTTTCTCATGACTCTCCTTATTATGATGATCAATTTCTATCAAATTTGAATACTAGTCATACAATTAAGATCTGCAAAGTTACCTGCAAAGACAGAGAGAAGAACAGCTTCACACCTCCTGAGTCCTGAGAAACTCCTAACAAACATTACCCTTTAACCCCAAGTCTCCTTGTGATATAATCAAGAAATGAGAGAGGTGTTACAGGATTCATCTTCCACCCAAGAGTGGAAAGGACCAAAATTTCCATTCTTTTTATCGTTTTTGCTTCAAACAAGTATCCACTGTCCTCCACCTACACAAATTAGAGAAGAATCATAACCAATGATCAAAATCTTTTATTTTTAATTTACAAAAAGTGGAGTCATGATAGGTTAATGACACATATTTGGCGGTCTACAAAAAGGGCAACTTGGGTCTCTTCAACCTTAGCAGCAAGGGAGAGGCAAGTCACAGTAGCTAGTTGTGTCAGCCATGGTTCCCATTGTGTTTAAACATTTACACTATAGTAGTATATGTAACACAAAAGGCCTAGATACTAGTTGTATGTCATAATCAAACGAAATACTGGTTGCTCGAACGGTTAAATGCAGAGGGCAAAAGCCAAAAAGGTAATTATGAAGTAATAACGGAGACTCATAAGTCATAACCTTTTCACTTTTCTTTACTAGTACTTACGCTCCTCTTTTCTCTTTTTAAGCCCTCGACCTTCTTTTGAGAAGGGGATGGCTTTCAAGTAATTTGCACACCAATTCATCAATACTCAAGCCAATAGTCCAACAAAATTGCATTAAAAATAATTCTTTTAACTTATTCATGCCAATGGTTACAAATCAACACTCATCTTGCTACCCAGTTTAATTTGCTGCAGTCAAAATTTTTAATAAGATAATCTACTTGATCAAGTGAAACAGGCTTTCATTTAAAGTTATCACATTTAGAGTTTGAATCTAGATGTAAGTGAAACAGGATTATAAATTAAAACAGTTTCATAAGTTTGTATAACAACAGAACATGATAGATAAGAATAGTGCAGATCTCTGTTGAGGATGGAAACCTGGTTGTCCATAGCAAGAGCATATTGATTGGTGTTCCGGACAACATAGCTCTGAGTCCAGGATGTGGAAAGGGACTTGGGAGTGGTGCTTTTGTTGGTGCTACAGCTTCCCATAGCAAAAGTCTCCATGTGATTCCCATTGGTGTCTTGGAGTATGTTCTTATAGCTTTCATCTTCCAACACTTAACCACTGTATCACAAAACTATAGTAATTAAACCTGTAACTAAGGTACAGAGTCAATTGCAAGTTGATCATAATCATTCTTGTTCTCTGCCATTATACCTGTAACTAAGGTATGCAAAGTAAGCAGCCATTCATTGTAGGCCTTCAGTAAACTGCTCCTGGACAGGACTTCATTGCAGTTTGTCTTTCCTGTGTTACATATGTAATTGTGAAACCTTCATAATTAAACCTTAATTTAGATTAAGTTTGGCACTTACTAATTATCAAACCATAACAAAAATGTAACATCAAATTTTGCAAGGAAAATTCAAAGTAAAAATATTTCTGTTAAGGAATAATTAACCATTCAAGTGGTTCATTAACTCAAAAACTTGAAGGTCTGCAGGTGTATATATTGAAGGAAATCCATCCCAGCAAAGCGACCTAAGATCTTCTAAGAGATATTTATAATCACCATCAAATTGTATTCCAGCAAGTTGAAGCAATCTCAGTCTCTTCATCTTCTCAAATGCTTTGGTTTTGAAATCAGTTGTTGTATCCATCATGGGCAACTTCAAATTCAGTCCCGTAACAGCTACGTTCCCTGTGAAATAAAATGAACAGAAAAATAAAATGCATAGCAGAAGTAAAAGGCAGTAAAAATTCTAGGAGCATAACTGAATGCAATTATGAGGTTTGAAGCTCATAAGGAAGCAAGTAACACTAAACGATTCACAATCAAGCTATTTTTTATTGTATTTTTTTTGGAGATATATAGCTAATTTTCATACTTACTGAGTTAAATAAAGATAACAAATTGATGCTAACAACTGATTCGCCAATGTTTATCTTGCATCATTTGACGTTGGATTAAATTTAAAAACAAAAACCAAGCATGAAGTTCTTACAGTATCTTTTGATACCATATTAAGCACATTTTTGTCGAGCCATAACCTACTGCGCTTCTCGGCATAATCTGGTGATTCCCCATAAACGACAGCACTAAACCAGCAAAAAAAACAGTATAGACAATCTAAAATCAAGCTGAAGCTACCAAATATAAGTTAATGGTAAATTTAACACAGCAAAAACAACAACTCCTTAGCACTAAACCAGTTATATAGCTTATATCAAAGACTGAAAATTCAATTTATAATTGTTGATTCTGTAGAAACAAGATTTCCTAGGCACAAACAAAAACTTACTGGTCTTTGTTCTTTTCCTGTACAACAACTCTCTGTCCACTGCATAACATTTTGAATATATAGACTAAATCATTCCATATATATACATAAGTCTAATTGTGTGCATTTTCGACCTTCTTCCAGTTAAAATCTTATGAGCATAGGTCTGTGTCAACATCCCCCAAAAAATTTAAGGTTAGACACATAAAAAAGATTAAGGTTTATGGTAAAAATACCAAAGGAAAATAATTTGGTAATTATAACCTGATGACCAACATCCCAAATGATCTTGTCTTGAGGAGTGTTGAATACATGGTGAAGTGCCACAGTTAACTCAGCCACACCTAGGCTTGAACTTAAATGTCCGCCAGTCTTTGACACTGTATAAACAATCTCTTCGCGGAGTTCATCTGCTAGCGCCTCAAGTTCCTGATTATAATATCAAAATCAAAGTATTCAATTACAAATCCCAATAGAATAAAAAAACCATGAATAAAATCTATAAGAGCAAAAAAAAAACTCAAGTTAGTTACTGCTCCTTTTAATAATGCTAGTCCCTACCTGAATGGATAGGTTCTTCATGTGGATTGGGTAATTTATGGTGTCCAAAACTGGGGTGGATGGTTTCTCTCCTGAGAAACTGAGAGATCTCCGCAACTGTTGATTTGTTTCGTAGCTTTTCTTCACCATTGTGCCCTCCTCCTCACCAGCATTGTCTCCTGCAGCAGCTATCACTCGGTTTATCTGAAAAATGAGAATCAAATACCAATAAATGTTACCATCCTTGACTCCACTATAGTTAATTATTTACTTTTTATTTTGTTGATTCCAGAATATATGATAAAGGGACAAGAACTAAAATAAATGGAGTTAAAAATTTATATAAATGAAAAGCTCATTCGCTGTAAGTTCACCTGCACAAATTGACAGAGCACACAGTTCACCATTCGTGTAGGTTTACTCTGCAGAAAAAAATGAAGCACTTCTTCAGCAGTAACTGATATATAGTTTATGGACCACAAAAAGGATCACAAAAACTTGATCCCAATCCAACATTCCTTTTTTGAGAGCTGGAGCAACATAGCAATTTAACAGTGGCAACTCTACTTATAAGTCCCAAAAAGAAATACATGCAATAGAAATCAAATCCCAAACCCTGACAAAGAGATGCATAAAGAATTGGAACAGTCACTCTACTTTAACATCAAAAACCAAGGGTTACGACCAAAAGCAAAATATCATGCTTAGCTAACAATACGCTTCAATGTAATTATAAATCAAAAGTCATATTCAATCCAATTAAATTAACCATAACCTCAGTATATAATGGCATTGACATCGCCTCTGCACAATCTAGATAACACCCATAGTTTCCCATGTCATTCAATGTCAATGTTAAAACAGCTCCATGCTCACCTCCCTGTGACCAATGAGAAAAAGAAAACATAGTGACAATCCAAGATCTCTGGTTTACTTGAGAGGCACCATCTCTTTAAAGAAGCAATGAATCAATGATAGGCTTTTCAGATTAGGATTGCTATGAAGGAAAGAATATAGAACCTCAGTATTATTTAATTTAGACAAGCGAAGCTCTTCTAATTTGTTCCTTCGATAGTTCCCTTCCCCCATGTAGCTGCTTGACAACTTTACATGCCACGACTCAATTTGCGGTTTCTATAATTTACTCTGCGGTTTTTACTCTGTTTTTCTATAATTTAGTAAGAGCACAAAGTAGTACCTCTTCAGGAAAGAGCACAAACTTTCCTTCTTCATCTGCGGTTTCTTTTCTAAATGGTTCCAACTTGTCACAAATTTGAGGAACCCTAACCGTTGACAGCAAAACTGATTAAGACTTGAAGTCATTATATTAATTTGGCTACAATCTTGATCAGGATCAACGCTGGATATGTTATTAATTTGGCAATTCATGAATAGACAAAATCATGAAATAAAGCACATTCGCAGCCGCTCCTTATATTACCTAAGATCTTTATATTAATATATTTACATTTTTACCCGACCAATTAAGACTTGAAGTCACCATACCACCACTATATATTGCATGTTTTGTTTATTTTTGTCTGACGTTTTGTATTTTCCTTCTCCAGTTTTTGAAACGAAAAAACGCTACCCCAAGGAACAATACACTATAGCATAACCTCCCCCGTCTATTTTCCACCAAGTTAATCTCTAATCCCTCTCAGTTTCGTTTTTTTCTTTTTTGTATTACGGTATTCTTATTTTATGTGTGCACTACATTAAAACAACACAACATGGTTAATCTCATTTCACACTATGTAATTTTGATGCTTTATCTCTTCTCTCTCTAATTGTAAATTTTTGTAAATTTTTATTTAACTATTTTATTATTAATTATAGATGGAGAATATACGAATGCAATCGATGATGATCACATCAATGGAGGCAGAAATAATGAAAAGGTTGAAAGCAAAAGAGGAAGAGATTGAGATGATTGGGAAATTGAACAAGACTTTACAAGAGAAAGTTCAGTTGATGAACATTGAGAACCAATTTTGGCGTGAGGTGGTACAGACCAATGAAGCCACTGCCAAAGCCCTACGCAGCCACCTTGAAAATGCACTGGCGCTCTCAAATGATGGTAATGGAGACTTGGTCATTGGTGTTGCACCTGTGGCTGCAGAGGATGCTGAGTCTCACTGCGACAGCAACTAGATGACGGACACGATAAGAGGAGATTGTGCAGGAAATGTAAGAAGGAGGAATCGAGGGTACTCATCCTGCCCTGTAGGCATCTCTGTCTCTGTACTTCTTGTGGATCCACTGCTAGCACTTGTCCTATCTGTGAATCTTCCACAAATGTCACTCTTTATATTGAGATGACCTAATTATTTTCTCTTTATAGGATCTCTCTCTTCAAATAAGAGTATATTTTATTTTTTATTTTTTGGGATTAATTAATTTATCATTGGATATGATATTCTAGCTCTTGTAATCTCGCATTGAGTTTTACACAAACATTTCAAGGTTTTAGGTTGAATTTGAATTTATTTATGCATCTGGTGCCGTACGTGTTTTTCTTTTCCTTTTGCATTTTATTGGAAATATTACTCTCCTTTCACATGAGGTAACTTATCTCATTTTCTCTCTTTTTGGAGTTACCCAACCCTAATTATCTCTTTGAGACGAGTTGGCTCCCTCCGGTATCCCCACGAGCTTCGACTCTTTGAGCCGGCTATGGGACTAATCCGGAGTGCGGGGGAACAGTGATGGTGGGACCCACCCCACTTCAATTTTCGCACCCCACTTTTTTTTTCTTTTTTCTTGTAATGGTGGGACCCACCCATTTTCTCTCTACCACATAAGATAGTTATCTTATGTGGAAGGAGATTAATAAAACCCGCATTTTATTTACTTAATGTTAGAATATACACATTACGAGAATAAAAAAAGTAAAATGGAATATTTATTTTATTTATGAGTTATGCACAAGAGGTTGACATTGATATATCCTATCAATTGTTAAAGTTTATTATAATAAACTATGAGATGATGAAGGAAAGATAGACCAAATTAATCTCTGATTTTCATTGATCGTTTCCTTGAATTAAGTAACCTAACAATCCTAATTTGCTATTAACTGGGAATTTAAATAACCGAAAGATAAAAGCTATTATCTAGGAAACTAAATAACAGAAAGATAAAAGAATAATCTTCCTAATAATTGCAATAAAGTCTTATCCTAATAAAATAGAATTTAATTAAATAAATAATCTTTGAAGTGGGCTAGTACTCTTGTTGCACGTTTGGGCCTGCATGCTTCATTCCCCACCCCATCAGAACAGGCTTTGTCCTCAAGGCCCACTATAGGTGAATCGATGGTGGGCTGATTGTGGGAGACAGAAGCTGGCCGAGTCTCCTCCCTTGTGTTCGGTTCAGGTGTATGTGGTTCCAAAGTGTTATCTTGATGAAGCTGACTTGGCAAGCATGCAATGGCTGGGAATCCGCTGGGTGAAGTCTGATTGGTGCGCTGGGTATGTGCCTTATCACATGGGCTAGGATTGGATACTTGATTGAGTGTACCGTGGGAACCTTGGACAGGGAAAAATTCTGGGGCAGTGTGCGCTGAATCATGTGGGTCAGCAGTGGGTAGTGCATTGTCGCTTGGGTCCTCCTTGTGCGTTGAATCTTGGGCAGCGCAAGCATGCAATGGCTCTTTAGTTCCTTGGGCCGCGTGAGTTGTATCTGTGCGAGGTACATCAGAGGCTCTTGAGCAGTGTGTATTGCTGGGGCGGCTTGGATTACTTGTGACAGTTGGTAACATGCCTTCAGTAGCATGTGAAATGTTGCCATCTTCATTCCATCGTTCTAAATGTTTTTCATCTTCCCATGTAGCAGCTTCCTGAGGAAGATTAGTCCAATGGATAAGCAGCTGGGTGATTGGTCTTCCTTCACGCGAAACATTGCGGGTCGCAAGTATAGTGTGTGGAATATGGATGAGGTCTTCAGTATCAATGGAGGTTGGGTAGTGTGGAAGGGGTCTGTCCTTACGGTGATAAAATGGTCGTAGTAAGGAGATGTGAAAAACTGAATGGAGTTTGGCGTCTGGTGGTAGTTCTAGGCGGTACGCCACTTTCCTATGTTTTCCAGTATTTTGTACGGTCCATAGAGCTTGGTTGCTAACTTCTGTGATGAACGGCCACGCAAGGAAAGTTGTCGATAAGGTTGTAAGCGTAGAAGGACCAGATCTCCTATGTTGAAGGTAAAATCACATCTTTTCTTGTCAGCTTGTGTCTTCATTGCGTTTTGGTCAGCAGAGTTGAATCAACGGCTTCTAATGTTGATGTTCCCAACGAATACCGTAGTGGATATGGTGGAGGTTTTCCAAACGTAGCTTCAAACTAAGATGTACCTATGCTGCGATTGTATGCAGTATTGTAATGATACTCCGCTAAAGGTAAAAATTTCAACCATTCTTTCTGCTTCTCAAACGTATATGCTCTGAGATATTGTTCTAACGTTCTATTGACCCTTTCTGTTTGTCCGTTTGACTGGGGTTGGTACGCCAAAATGTAACGAAGTTGTGTGCCTTGGAGTTGGAATAACGATTTCCAAAAAGCGCTGAGAAAAATGGGTCACGGTCAGTGATGATGGACTTTGGTGTTCCATGTATTTTCCCCACATTATCCCAAAAGACTTGTGCAACTTTGGAGGCAGTATACCGGTCTGGGAGTGGAATAAAATGTGCTCCTTTGGTTAGACGATCCACTACAACGAGGATGACATAAATTCCTTGAACTAGTGGCAGATGTGTGATGAAGTCCATTGTTAGTTCGGACCAAATTTCTGTAGGAGGTTCAATCGGTTGTAACAAGCCATAAGGTGAGTGATTAATGGGTTTCACCCTTTGGCATACTTCGCAAAATTTCACAAATTCTTGTACATCTTTTCTAACTATTTTCCACATGTAAAATGTGCATAAACGAGACAATGTCCGCCGGACTCCAGCATGTCCGCCGATGGGTGCTGAATGGAACTCCTTCAACAGACTCGAGATTAATGAAGAGTGTTCAGGCAGAAAGATATGACCACGGTGGAGTAGTAGTCCATTTTTAATATCCCAGTTCCCCTTTTTTTCTTTGGATGACTGTATTTCCCCCATTAATTTTGCTGTGTATGTGTCTGCTTGTAATTCTTTCTGTAATACTGGTAAATAGTGAGAACTGGGTGTGGATAAGGATGCCAATTGTGCGACTGGGGGTTCAATATCCCCTTGAAGTTGCCTGGACAAACCATCAGCAGCAGCATTAGTGATACCAGATTTGTAAGTGATTGTGTACTGGTATCCTAATAATTTCGCCAAAAATTGCTGTTGTTCTGGTGTTTGGATCGCTTGAGACATCAGATGGTGTAAACTATTGTGATCAGTTCGTATGATAAAACTGGATCCCAAAAGATATTTCCTTCATTTGCTAATTGTTGCGGTAATTGCATACATTTCTCTAATGTATGTGGATTGGTTCTGCATTCGGGAAGATAATTTTTTACTAAAATAAGCTACCGTACGGTCATCTTGTAGTAAAACTGCCCCAATACCGGAACCCGACGCATCTGTTTCAATTGTAAATGGTTTACTGAAATTTGGTAGCATTAAAATGGGCGCTTCAGTGAGATGCTTCTTTAGATTTAGAAAAGTCGTGTGAGCCTCGTTTGTCCAGTTGAATTGGTTTTTGGTAAGTAGGTTCGTAATTGGTGATGCAATTTTGGCATATCCTTTTATAAAACGTCTATAGTATCTAGATAAACCCAAAAAAGTTTGTACCTGTGTAATAGTCTTAGGAATGGGCCATTCTGAAATTGCCTTTATTTTTCTGGGTCAGGTGCGACGCCTTCGCCTGAAACAATGTGTCCTCGAAAGTGTATAAAGTTAGTAGCAAAGGAACATTTAGAAATTTTGGCATATAGGCAGTGTGAGTGTAATGTTTCCAGAACCGTAAGTAAATGTTGAACATGTTCTGTCAAATTAGGACTAAAAACCAGAATATCATCAAAGAATATTACGATAAAACGCCGTAAATAGGGTGCAAATACTTCATTCATTGTAGCCTGGAAGGTGGAAGATGCATTCGATAAACCGAATGGTAAAACCAAGAATTCAAAGTGTCCATGATGTGTACGGAATGCTGTTTTGTGGATGTCGTCAGAGTTCATGCAGATTTGGTGGTATCCAGATCGCAAGTCCAGTTTAGAGAAAACCGTAGCTCCATGGAGTTCGTCTAGTAATTCATCCACTGTGGGTATAGGAAATTGATCACGCATAGTTATGGCATTCAAAGCCCGATAGTCCACACAAAAATGCCAAGTGCCCCCTTCTTTTTGACTAATAAAACAGGAGAGCTGAATGGGGATTGACTTGGTCGGATAATACCGACCGTAAGGATTTCCTGACATAATTTTTCAATTTCATTCTTTTGGAAATGAGGATAACGGTAAGGTCTAACTTGAACAGGTTTAGAATTTGGAAATAGAGTAATGTGATGATTATGTGGACGGTTGGGGGGTAAGGTGGTGGGAATGGTGAAGACATCAGAGTAGTTGGCCAATAAATTTTGGATTTCAGGGACTGTATGAGGGATAGGATCAGTGTGTGAAGGTGGGGTAACGGTGGAATTATGGTCTGATTGGGTAAAACACATGAGGCATGAAGTGTAGGCATTACAAGCAATAAGCTTGTCAAGTTTCGCCGATGAAATCATCATTGAAGTATCTGGCCGTTGTCCTTGGAGTTGAATAGTATTGCCATGGTGATCAAAACTCATTAGCAATTTTCCATAGTCCGTAAGAATGGGGCCCAATGTGGCTAACCATTGAAATCCTAGAACTATATCAACGCCTTGTAAATCTAACAGATATAAATCCAAGAAAAATGTGTGTGATTGCATTATTAATGGAATGTCACAACAAAGGGCCTTGCATTGCAACCCCTCGCCATTGCCTACTTGGACCGTAAAGGGGTTAACAATTTGTAGAACAAGTCCCAAGTAAGTAGCCGTTTTATGAGTAATAAAGTTATGGGTACTACCTCCGTCAATCAATATTTGGACCTGTTTGCCATGTATTGATCCTGTTAATCTGAAAGATCAAGGGGAATAATGACCAAAAAGAGCATTCAAACTAATCTCAGAAAAATAATTAGGGATAGGGTCTGCATCTGGCGAAATAATTTGAGTGTCCTCCTCCACTGGTTGGACATTATCATCGTCAGTACCTTCAAAATATACCAAAGTGGCCTTTCCTTTGCATTTGTGTCCGAAAACATACCTTTCATCACATCCAAAACAAAGTCCTCTGTCACGTTTGTT